CACACCTGAATGATCTACTAGAAAAGGGAATTATTACAACTAGTACAAGCCCGTATGCGGCACCGATTGTAGTGGTAAAAAAGAAGTCAGGGGAGATAAGACTGTGTTGTGATTACCGGAAATTGAACAATATCACAAGAAGGGATGCATTCCCCTTGCCTCGGATTGATGAATGTCTTGATGCGTTGGGGGGAGCAAGATTTTTTTCTACCTTGGATCTGGCCAGTGGCTACCACCAAGTGGCCATGCACCCCAACGATCAACATAAAACTGCATTTATTTCTCCACTGGGACTGTACGAGTGGACCCGTATGCCGTTTGGTCTAACTAATGCACCTGCTACATTCCAGCGAGTAATGCAGAGTGCTATGAGTGACTTTCTATTTCAAATAATGTTGGTGTATTTGGATGATATTCTAGTTTACTCAAAAACTTGGGAGGACCATCTAAAAAGATTAGAACAAGTGTTTCTCCGTCTTAGGGAGATAGGAGTAAAGCTGAACCCAGACAAATGCTGCTTTGGTTTGAAATCGGTACATTTTTTGGGTTACGTGATTTCGTCGGATGGCATCGCCACTGACCCAGATAAAATTGCAGCTGTTAAAGAATGGAAACAACCAACAACTACGGTAGAGGTCAGGTCATTCTTGGGCTTTGCTTCCTATTATAGAAAATTTGTACCTGGTTTTGCAAAAATTGCCGCACCATTGCATGACTTGGTAAACAAAATGACAAAGAAACACAGTAAGGAGAAAAAGAAAGGTAAAACACACCTGATAGGTGAACTATGGACTGATGAATGCCTGAACTCGTTTAAACTCTTGAAAAAGGCTTTGACAGAGGCACCGATATTGGGTTACGCGGACTTTGACAAACCATTTCGGTTAGAAATCGACGCCAGCTCTAAAGGTCTGGGAGCTGTGCTATCACAACAACAAAAGCAAGGTTTCAGGGTTATTGCGTATGCCAGTCGAGCTCTGAAGGGATCAGAGAAGAACATGACAAATTACAGCGCCATGAAACTAGAACTTTTGACATTAAAATGGGCTGTGACTGAGAAATTCAGGGACTATCTATTAGGTGCTAAATGTGTGGTATACACTGACAATAACCCCTTGAGTCACCTAAAGACAGCAAAGTTGGGATCCATCGAACAGCGATGGGCAGCAGAATTGGCACTCTTTGACCTAGAGATAAAATATCGCCCGGGGCGGTCCAATGGCAATGCGGACGCTTTATCAAGGAATCCTTACGAGAAACCGGGTGATGAGGAAGAAACACTGACAGGAATATGTGAGGTCAGAGCGTCAACAGATATCCCTCATGGGGTACAAGTGATGCAGAACGGGCAGACCGGGGTGGAGCACATATCCACGGAACCCGAACATATGGACAGTAGTGATTTTAGTTGCCTTAATCACAAAGAGATAAGAAATGCCCAGAGAACGGATAGTGGCTTACAACCGCTATTGAAATACGTCCAGGAACAAAAATTCCCAGGAAGAAGGGAAAGAGAACAATTTGGTCGAGAAACAAAGAAAATACTGAGTCAGTGGAACCGTCTCAGTATAAAGGATGGTGTTCTCATGCGGAGAATTCATGACCAAATTGATGGCACAATACACCAGGTGGTGGTGCCGGGACAATTACGAGAAGAAGTGCTAAGGTTGGCACATGACAGGGCAGGACACCAAGGTCAGGACAGGACGCACAAAATATTACGACGGAGGTGTTACTGGCCCAATATGGAAATGGAGGTCAAACGCCATTGTGAGGCTTGTGTGAGGTGTCAGCATGCGAAAATGCCAGTTGTCAAAATGAGACAGCCATCAGGACACCTACTGGCGACAAAACCACTAGAGATTGTGGCTATGGACTTTACGTCGTTGGAGCAATCATCGGATGGGACGGAACATGTGTTGGTAATGACTGATGTATTCACCAAATGGACTGTGGCGGTGCCCACACGAGATCAGACTGCCAAAACAGTGGCAAAGGTCTTATTAGAACATTGGTTCATCAAATATGGCATACCAAGACAATTACACTCTGACCAAGGAAGGGCTTTCGAGTCAGAAGTAATTAACCAACTGTGCAGCCACTACGGGATCAACAAATCTAGAACAACCACATTTAATCCGAAGGGAAACGGACAGTGTGAACGGTTCAACCGCAGCATGCATGATTTGCTGCGTACGCTAGAACCTGAACAGAAAAAACGTTGGCCTGATTTTCTCCCAGAGTTGGTATATCTATACAACTGCACACCCCATGCCACAACCGGCTTTACGCCATACATGTTGCTGTTCGGACGAGAGGCTCGACTCCCTCTTGATTTGTTCCTAGGAAAAAGGGAGAGTATGACTGGCTCATACACCGCACTGGAATATGTGAATGAACATATGAGAAGAATTAGAGAAATGTACAGGGTAGTACAGGAAAGACTAGAACATGAATCTCGGCGAAGGGAACCGCCGATACAGACGAAGGACCCGCCACTCAAACTGAATGACAGGGTATTACTGCGTAGCCACCCGTTAGGCAGAAACAAAATCCACGATCTCTGGGGACAGGAGATATGGCAAGTCGTGGAGATGCCTAAAGCAGCAGGTGGCCCCTTTAAGATAAGACCCATCGATCACGCCAAACCGGATCGGTGGGCGAATATTGCTCAATTAAAGAAATATTGGAATAGGCAAGAAGAGCAGTTACACACAGAGAAACCCAAGACAATTAGGGAACCGGAAGTTATAACGGAAATTCACATACCCATTCCGGAACCATATCACCATCAACAGAACAACCGCGATACGCAAGGGGAGGATACCGGCAACAATGAGGATCCCGGTCCCTCCAGAAGCAGAGAGACAGTAGACCATCAGATAAGTGGTCCGCGGAGAAGTTTAAGGAACAGAAGGAATACGAAATTTTTTGTCAGCAACCATCAATTCTTTCATGGTCGCGCTGGTATGAAAACAGACTGTTCAAAGAGCTATAGAAGTGAACTGGTGAAGGCACCAAATGGAAAGGGTGGATGTGAATTCTAGAACTGTTTTGTGTCTCAGGAAGATGATGTAGACACAGTTGATATGTGAAATAGGTATAACTGTCAATCGTATACGAATGGAACGTCGTGGACAGTGAGTGGAACAATAAATTTTTTTTTTTTACGACTGTGCGATTGACTTTGGAGGAGTGCACCTGCCAGGCGTTGTTTGTGGTTTAAAACACACAAAAAAAGCAGGGGTGGATGTAACTGGGGTAGGCCTAACTACCAGTTACAAATGATAACGAACGAGAAGCCGCGACGCAGTATGAAATCTGACGCAACCATAACAGGTGGCTTATTGGATCGGTCTGATGACGATCTCAAAGCCAACGCGTGCTATTTTGGGAAACGGTACGAGAAGTTTCAGACGAGCTGTCGACTTTGATGGATGGGACGCAGATGTTTTAGTGAATCGGACGGTACGTCAGAAACTGCGACATTAGTATTCGGATACATCGATTACAAGTATCGATTACGGAAATGGAGACAAGTACGACTACGATTTCAAGGCATAAATAGGAGGGGACGGCAGAACTCGTTCTCTCTCTCTTCCCGTTTCGAGGCTCTTACCTCTTTCATCGCTCGCTTAGATCAGTCAGTCTGTGTGACTATGTCAAGTCGGTTATAGAACGGATTAGCCGTATTGTGTTAAGAAGGATTATAGACATGTGGATTCAGTTATATAAAGCCTAGTGAAGGACTGTTAGGGGTCAGTTGATTCAGACTATTATTGAGAAGCATTCCTGTTGATTTATTGTGTTATTATGAAGCATTTCTTGATTCATGTAATAAAGGATCAATAGCGAACCTGCATCTTGAGTATCTATACTGTGGTCAATGTTGTCTAGAATGAGTGGTTAAACTCGTTAACACGTGGCACTACAGGCAATTAGGTCTCATTACATGTGGCGTTGCGAGCATGGTAACTGTTGGCTCGTTACAATTGGCGTTGTCGGCAGGATAAATGTTCGCTCGTCACATATATATATATATATATATATATATATATATATATATATATATATATATATATACAAATAAAAAATATGAACATAGGATACTCATTGCTGGCCTGTTCGGGGTTTGAAAATAATTTTTTTTTTCAATTAAAACAAATTACTAGATCTATATCATGTCATGTGAGTAAGTGCATTAGTTTGTTTTGGGAAAATCAGTTTTTTTTTATCTGTGCAATAGGTCCTCCCAACATTTTAGTTGGCGAAAAGAATATAAAACATAAAAGCTTTGTAGAAGTAATGGTGTCTCGTGTTATGATTATTTTTATGTATTTTTTTTTTATCAAGGGCCTATATTATTAATTTTAAATACATTTCCTTTTTATACAATGTCATTCTTTAGTAAGTACTTTATAAAAAAAATAATTAACAGAAGTAATTGCTTTTTAATTAGTTTAGTACAAATCTATTAAATGCAGCTTATGAGCACCCTTATTTAACTATTTAAAAAAGGGAAATAAGTCATGGAAGTGGTTTGAACGTTTGCTTTTTGCTAAGTTTAATTGTAAGAGAAAGAGGACTCGGCTTTCACAGTGGTTTAAAAACAAAGGGAAAAAGAATATACAAGAGCGTGGGGTGGTGTCTATCGGCCCCTAAATGTCGTGGGCCCCCCCCCCCCCCCGCATTGCGGAGTCTGGCGGCACTGTAGTTCCGCCCCTGAATATTATGCGTGTGACGTGTGTGAGTGTGACTCGTGTACGACATATTATGTGTGGTGTATGTGTAGGTGTGTATGTGTATGCCTGATTGCCATCAGTGTAACAGTGTTCTGACTTTTTTTATCTGCCTGCACTTTTTTGCTAGCCATGTATGATGTAACGTACCTAGTGTTGTTGTCAATAATTCTTAACCAAAAAGCATTTCCCCGAAATCCAATGGCACCAGTATGATATATTTGTTGTTTATTCCTCCCCTCCCCCCCCCCCCCCCACCAGAGTACTGCGGTAACATCCCAGCTGACGTGGTGTTCGTGCTGGACAGTTCCAACTCCGTCCATGACGTGGACTTCAAGAAACAGCTGGACTTCGTGTCTGACGTGGCCAGTATGTTCCAGATTGGGGAGAACATGACCCAGGTGAGGCCTAACTGTTTTAATCAGGGATTATCACGTGACTTTACTTACAAAAGTATTTCTTCTGATTTAACCTGGCTTTTTCTTATCTCGTATACGGTCAATACCAACCCACTCCATGCTGATTATCCAGGAACAGGGTTTTAAATCTATCATGTTTATCATCGATATTACAGGACAGTAGGATTGTGGGTTTGTAGCAGGTTTAGACCCCCCGCCCCCGCAGTGGAAAGCACCCCCTAGTTCAGAACAGAGTTTCTTCTAGGCATCTCTTCGGGGGGCAGAGCCCCCCCCCCCCCGAAATTTTTTTACCGCCCCCCCCCCCCGAACGAAATGAAATTTTTATAATTTATATAGAAAATATATACTTTTAACAGTGTCCGCCCCCCCCCCCCCCCGAAGAAAGTCTAACGCCCCCCCCCCCCCCGAAAATTTCAAGTGGCCCCCGGAGAACACTGGTTCACAAGTAAGGGGCAGTTCAATCAGTGCCGTCTCTAGTCCGGGTCTTCGAACTCGTGACTTTCGGGTTAGTAAGCGCGTTCCACCACTAGACCACGACATTCCAACTTTTATTATAAAGCCTATTTTTTTTTACCAAAAATTGACCAGTAGAGGCATTGTTTTTCTTTCCTAAAATAAGTGATCATTTCGTAAATTGGCTTATGATTAAGATAACATTAGGATCGCTTTTCTTGTGAATAAATTCAATGACCCCCAGATTAAATTAACTTAAAACATAAGAGCGGCAATAAAAACAAAAACAAAATTCACATATTTTACCGAAAACTTACATTTTTTTCCTAATTCAACCACCTTTAAACAATATTAGTTAATTTATTTTTAATTTTAATTTTCCTAATTAGAAATAAAGAATTTTCTTTGCAAAGCCATATAATACAAGTAAAAGAAAAAAAAATATGTCCTGAATTTATTCTCGTATTCTATAAAATCGCAACACCTTTGAGTTATGTAAAAAAAAAAGTGGAATGTGCACAAGTGTAAAAACCGGCTTAAGTTTTCTGCAAATCAAGATTCGACACCTCAGTGACGTCAGACACCGACAGCACTTCCTCTTCCGGCACGGAGTAATCCATCTTGTTGAACTCCTGAGCCGTGATCAGCGTCGCCGTGTAGAGTTGCCGCCCATTTTTGAACACCACAATGGCGGGGATGTTGTCCAGGTTAATGTCCAGCTTCGCCGCCATCGCTTTGGCCTTGTCCATGTTCGCCGCGAGATACATGGCGTCCGGGTTCCGGAGTTCGGCCTGCATGAACTCGAACCGGATCCGGCGGCATGCCGGCGACCACTCCGTGTAGAAGTAGACGATGACAAGCTTGTCGGTGTGGGCCAGGAATTCCCGGAGCTCCGCCAGGGTCGACACGAAGGTGCCGGTCAGCTCCATGACCCGGGAGGTTAAAGTTCAGAGGTCATTATTTAACGAGAGGAACAACCTGAATAAGACGTAAAACAAAAGATTAAGTTATACTAAACACTTTTCATGAATGAGCTAATATGGCTGGTAAGTAGGTCACCAACCAGTCAATAAAACCTGCATGAGCCATAGAACTGGTTGGTGACCTACTTACCAGCCCTATTATAATACAAATCGAAAACATTGGCGTGAAATGTGTGAAAAGTTTTCTGGTCAAAGTACTCTTTCGAACTTAATGGACCATTGGCAGTGAAAGTAGAGTTACCTGTTTCTGAGACCTCGGCATTTGAAGGAATAGTGTTGTCAGAACTATGCCCAGCCGCCTTTACTTTCCCTAACGTGAGTTGGTTACCCATCAGAGCTGGGTGGACATAGTGACGTTGTAATTACACGAACCCTGATTTCGAACTCAAGACTTTGGGGTTAACTGTAGTATGCGCTACCGCCTTACCACGCCGTTCGCTGTTTACGGTAGCTTAAAAGAATTATCAAGTTTAATTTTTGTTAAAACAAGTTTTTATACCCGGGTACTTCCGCAGATCGCATACCTTATTGAAAACATAACCCTAGTTCTTAAAGTATGTTAGGTTTTATCCTTACTACAATCCAAACGCAAAGCCTAACTTAATGTCTGACCTTTCTGCTACCTTAGCCATAAATCCTGCATATATACATGCAGAACCAAAACTGATACGTAATTAATTACCTGTCTGACTGCAATAATTATTGTCTAGCGAAGCTATTATTGCTAGAGTTTGTGTTAATTGGATTTAGCTAAATCTTTGTTTACCCCGTCTTAATAACAAAACATCACCAGTAGCACATTAGCGTGATTCTAACAAAGCATAGTCCGAACATTGCGTTGTTTTTTTCCTGTTTATATCACCGCGTTAAAGTAGCAATAAATTGACATAATATCTTAAGTTACCTATATGGCTACATTGAATAATAATATTGTATTTGAAAAATGTGTGTGAAGGTTTTAGTTATTTAGACTTAATTTACAGAACGAAATGAACCAATGTTGGTATTCTTTACTATTATTTATATCTAGTAGGATTATTCGATCATTTATACTTAATAGAATAGAGATATCTTCATAGACGTGAAGTGTAAATAAACTAAATAGATACCTTGTTAGCACGAAACTCTCGCCATTGTTGTTTATCAAAGAAGAGTCAAAGTTCAAATCAAGGCATTTAATATTGGTTTACACTGGCGCGTACGAAAAAACTACACAGCTTTAGGATGAGAAATGCATTCCCAGAAAAGTGAACATTGAAATGAATAAATACACGTTTGTGTAAATGTTTTCACGTAAGTCTTAAGTTTGATACCTGGGCTCTAAACTAGTTTTGTCCCCTGGCCCCTAGTTTGTCCCCTAGCCCGTATTTTATCCCCTAGCCGTAGTTTATCCCCAAAAACTACATTCTCTCATCCACGTTCTATATTTACCTAAAGCTCTATACCCAAATGAGCTTTGTAAGTCATCTAGACCTATAGAAAGGACAATAACAATAGTTTAGACACTTGGTATATGATTAGCTATTGGACTAACCGAATGTTAATTTAACCAAACATTTTTCTAATATTTTATTACAGGTTGGACTATTGACCTTCACAGAAAGGGTTCATCTCAATTTTTTTCTCAACGCCTACAAAACCAAGGCCAGTTTGATACGAGGCATTAAAAGTGTGAGTAGGATCTGTGGTTATTCATCCACTCCATAACCAACATACATGAAAAAAGTTATCCTTTTATAATGTGTCTGTTTCTCTCTTTTTCTCATTTTTTAGCAATACTTTTGGGGGGAGGTCAAATTTGATCAATTTCTATTAGTAACCTGCTTTCGAATTTCTCACTTGTATGTTTGTTACCTAGTTGTTAAGTTAATTAACAGCTTCCATCTTCTTAGTTGTGACATTAGTTTGTGTAGTATTCACCTCACAACATTTGTCTACTCTGTGTTGATATCATTCGTTTTCATAATCATTAATTTGGCCGTTAAAATGCCCATTATTTGTCATAGAAATTGTCTTTTGGCTAATGTGGCTGTTATTTGACTATTAATTCCAAGCATTTATTATCTACCCACTATATCTATGTGCTAATTTGACCATTATTTCATAACAGTTGTCCATCCAGTTTGTCTATTTGCTAGTTTGACCATTGATTCCCAGCTTGTCTATGGGCTAGTGTGACCATTAATTCATAGCATTCATTCATTTAGCTGTCTGGCTATTTGTTGGTGCGGTCGTTGATTCCCACCATTAATCTACCCACTTTGTCTATGGACTAGTCTGACTGTTGATTCCTAAGAATTGACCATCCATTTTGTCTATGGAGTAGTTTGACCGTTAATTCCTAATATTTTACCATCCATTTTGTCTATGGACTAGTTTGACCGTTAATCCCTAAGATTTGACCATCTAGTTTGTCTATGGACTAATCCGACCGTTAATCCCTAAGATTTGACCATCCAGCTTGTCTATGGATTAGCCTGACCGTTAATCCCCACCCTCTGTCCACTCCCAGACCTACAAAGAAAACGGCCTCGGCACCAGGACAGACCTGGCCCTCCACTTCATGAGGAAGAGGATGTTCGTGCCGCTGACCGGTGCCAGAGAGAACGTGTCACGTGTGGCCATCATCATCACCGACGGCAAGAGCGAGTACCCCATCAAGACGCTCATCGAGTCGCAGATAGGTAAGGGATCACCGCAGGTGTAGGTGAAGTAGATTGGTACTGCAGGTGTAGGTGAAGTAGATTGGTACCGCAGGGGTAGGTGAAGTAGATTGGTACCGCAGATGTAGGTGAAGTAAATTGATACTGCAAGTGTAGATGAAGTAGATTGGTACAGCAGGTGTAGGTGAAGTAGATTGGTACAGCAGGTGTAGGTGAAGTAGATTGGTACATTGATCATTTAGAGTTTAGATATCTATCTTACATCATCATTACAGGTGTTGGTAAAATATAATGATAAATAGTAAATTTGAGTCTTAGAAAGGTATTGACACAAGTGTGGGTAAAATCGGCTGATGCAATGATAATTTCAGTCTTAGATAGGCAAAAGATCTTTACAAGTGTAGATGAAATAGATTGGTCCATTGATAATTGAGTAAAAAACTAAATAACCCTCGTCTAGTCGGACCGCCTATTTAAAACGTTCAGATATTTATGAGTTAATTATGTTAATGTAAAAAATTGGGTATATAGTGAGCTAGAGACCTCGGTGAGTTCTGTCTTGAGAAACGTGAGTAATCGTGATAGATACTTGCCATTTGCCTAGGAGATTTCTTTCTTGAGAACCACGAGTAATCATGGTATATATTTGATATTGGTCTAGGTAGGTTCTTTCTTGAGAATCGCGAGTAAACTGGTCTAGATGAGTGCAAGACACCAACGTAAAGTTAGCAAAATATATATATAAAAAAAATCATTCGATTTAAAGTAATGATTAGTTTGAGTTGAATTGTAATTTAAGAGCAAAATTTTTTAAATCACGACAAGGTGGGGGTGACACCATGACGAAAACTTGCTAGCTATAGAGAAAACAATGCTACATCAAGCTGTATAAATAACCGACTATAGATAAACATCGTTACTATTATCTGTGCAAAGTTTAGACCTATCTAGGGGGTGGGGGTGACACCGATGTTCACCTCAGGTGCCTCAACGGGTGACTACCGACCTAGCAACGCCACTGCCCCTCCCCTCTCTCACCCACAGCCTAGAAAATTAAATATTGTGTAAAGTATTTTTTTTAATCTCCATTAAAGAGTAACAAAACTACAGGAAACAAAAACAGTAAAAAGTGCGTATCAAGGAAATCGAAACTTTACGAAAATTCACTTTTTGTTTATCTCACAAACTGCGTGAGGTTCTGTTGATTTAAAGCGCTGATTCCGCCAAGAAAATTTCTGTTAAATAATTAACGTGTCCAGAAAATGTGTTTTGTTTAACAAACTAATCCCCGTCTTCTTTTAGAAGTTGAGTCAATCGGTGCACACGTTGATTCATTAAGGAACGCATGTGGAAACATATTTTGCATGTCAGGAGTTGCGACTTTTTAAATTCTAAACTAGCCATAATTTAATTAGGGACTAAGTGTTGGAAACAGCGGGGGTGTATTTAATTACCCCGTGTGGGAGTTATTACTACACTCTATAAAAATTCCTCTTCACAATTTCGCACCGAGAAACTTCCAAATTTGTGTTAAGTTGATGTAATTTAACTATTTCACACATTTTTTCCCTAAAATGTTTAGAGTGTTTAATAAACTTTGAATGTGTTATCGTTAAGTTTTGTGGTAGTGTTGAGGAACATATACCCATTGAAAAGATAATTTATAGTAAACATTTGAGCTTATCTTTAGTGTTTTAAAGGGATGTAATCAAGTCATGAGTTATCTACCCGTGAGAAACTTCTAAATTTAGGATGTCAAATTGGTATAGATTTCTATGGGATAACAAATCTAAAGGCTCTAAAAAAATAGAAATCTATACAACGCTGATTAACTACATATTTTAAAAAAAAAAACATTTTAATAAGAGATTTTGAAATGTTCATACGCGTCTTTAGTATTTTAAATACTGAATTTTATAAATAATCACCAATTAGAGACAACTAGGCTACATTTGACATTGGTGAATTAATATTATTACCATAGCTTCCAAATATTCTTGAATTTAAAATAAATAAATAAGTACCCTATTAACTCATTACTGTCAATTAAGAAAATCTAATCTGTCTAAAAGCATTTTGAACCATGTCAGAAATCTAGTTCAGCGTCACCAAGGTCATACACTTAACTCTTAAATCCCCAACACATTAAAAGATCCAAGGACTTCATCACTAGGCGCCGACAGGAAGCTAATTAGATATCACCTCATTAAATAACCCGTCGCTAATTCCCGCCCAAGTAGCAGAGTTTTACTGGCGTATTTAACAAAATTATCTTAATTAACTAATTAACAGTATGCCAGCATTTAAATTTCGTTATTCAAATTAGTAACGCCACGAAGTTGACCGACAAATGCATATATATATATATATATATATATATATATATATATATATATATATATATATATATATATATATATATATATATATATATATATATATATATATATAGATAGATAGATAGATATATATATAGATATGTATGTATGTATGTATGTATATAAAAGTACGCATGTATCTGGATGTATGTGTGTGCTCGCGCACATGCGCATACGTACATGCGCGCACTCTTTGCAACCCAACCCGCATCTTTCAAGTCCCATTCTCCCACCATTACGTAATCTCTTAATGAATATTCACAAATCTGGTAGTCGTTTTATCGTTAAGTGCGCGTATTTACCCTAATGAAGCGCCGAAAGCCGTTTCTAATAGCGTTTTGGGTTTCCCCGATGACTACTTTCGTTTTCGTTTTTTTTTCTATTTCCTTACTTAAAAAACTAACACTTTCGGATAAAAAATATATTTTTTTAGAGCTGTTGAGTACTTTGAGAAGGATGGATTACACGGTAGAGGTTTGGCATTCGAGTTGAAAACAGATGGACGAGGTGGTTAAAATAGAAGACCCCCGTACAGATCATTAGGCGTTTTATTTCGGTGATTGTAAACGTGGTTGAAAGAAAAACAGGGCGGATGGATAATCTGTGAAAAGGGGTAGACGTGGGTTGGTTAATTGCCCGGGTGTTAAGGAGGGTGGGGTTTTATGTGCGAGGGTGTGGGTCGTTGTGGTTTTGTAGGAGTGGGTGTGGGATATTAGGTGCGGTCGCACTTCAATGACTCACTTGATTTTTCGGACAAATTTTATTTCGCAGATTAGAAAAGTGTATGAGTGTGGGAACTAGATTTTTTTTTCTTCAAATTTCGAGCATACCGGTGTAATATATTATAGCATTTTATTTTATTTTTGTCGTGCGTACAGTTAAAAAAAAACGAACTCACGCTATAAAATATGCAGATAAATATAGTTTACGTTTGGGATAGCTCTCTTCATGAGGATTAAATACAGTTTTGTGTCGGGTTTTAAAAGTCCAGCTGTATTTAATTTTATGTAGTTATAATTATTTCAATACGGAGATTCTTAGTGTGGCGGTTTTTATTAACATGGGTGTCCCAGCGACCTGGGTGGTCTTAGGGTCATGTATACATGCACGCACACACGCGCACATACTCACACACGCGCGTGTACACGCCATCACAGACACACACTCACACAAGCACGCACACACACACACACTCGGACAAGCATGAACGCACACATGCATGTACACACACACACAGCAAGCCCACACACACACACACACTTGGACAAGCAAGAACGTACACATGCACGCACAGACACACACACTCACACACATATGCGCACGCACGGACACACACTCACGCACAGACACTCACACACTCACACACACTTACACAAACGTACGCAAAGACACACATACTCACAAACAACTACACACATACACAAACCCACACGCACACATAGACACACGCACTTACTCACACACACACACAAGCACCCAAACTACTCATTTGAAATCTGACTCCTCTGGCATTTAGCCCCCCCCCCCCACCCACCCCCACTCCAACACTGTTGCTTCACGTGTCACATTTAAACTAGATGTGCAAATTGTATTTAGATCTAGTACAAATTGTATCTTTACTACAGAAAAAAAAAGAATATAATTATAAACATATGTTTTTAGCAACATTAAAAAAAAAACCGGCCAATTTCTCCCGTTTGGTAAACATGTTCTGGAATGCATAAAAACAAGAAGACCCTGTATAAATCGTGTCATTGTCTGAATGATTGGCAAGGTCATGACCTTACAGAATGACACCCTGAAATTCTGACGTCAAACAGCCGACAATCTTGACGTCAGAAGCACGCTGGGTTAAGTGGTGACGCCCACAGGAAGGGCATTGACCTTTAAAAGGTAGTCATGGTCATAATTGCTTTTCAAAAATCTTCAGCCGATTTAAACACCAAATAGTTCAGCTAATTCAACGACCAAATATTTCAGTACATTCTAGGAATGGATATTTCAGTAAATTCAAAGATAAAAGACTTCAGTATATTCGAAGACCAAATATTTCAGTTGATATAAAGGCCAAATAATTCGGTAAACTTAATTCAACATCTCAAAAATTCAAAGACCAAATAATTTGATAAATTCAAAAACTACATTTTTCAGTTAATTAAAAAATCAAATATTTCAATAAATTAAAACACAAAATATTTCAGAAATTCAAAGACCAAATATTTATGTAACTTAAAAGACAAAATATTTCAGCAAATTCAAATACCAAATACTTTAGTACATTAAAAAAAAGATATGTCATTAAATTAAAACACTAAAGTTTTCATAAATTCAATGACCAAATTCTTTGGTAAATTCAAAGGCCACATATTTTATTATTTTATTAAATTAAAAGACCAAATTTTTCACTAAATTAAAAGACCAAATATTTCACTAAATTAAAAGACCAAATAAATCATCTAATTTAGAGATCAAAGTTTCCACCCATATCATCCATGTATTTAGTTCATTTCTCTGTAAAAACAACACAAATGTTACAAACCCTCCATCATGTGTCTTCCAGCCAAGAAACAAGGCATCCATATTTTCACCGTGGGTGTTGGTGTAGCTGTGAACGATGATGAGATGAGGAGGATGGCCAGCTACCCACCCGACGAAAACGCCTTCACCGTCAAAACCTACTCGTTTCTCGACGCCATCAAAAATAAACTGGCCGTCAGAACGTGCACGAGTGAGTAGTTTTTTGTTGGCCTTTGTGTTTGTTTTTGTAATGTCTGCTTGATGGTAAGAACATTCATTTGGTTTATATAATTGTCTCATGCTTTGTTTCTATAGAAGTAGGTATCATGTTGTTTTGGGACTAGATTTGGGAAATGATTCTGATAAGGTTATAGAGTAGTGAAAATATGTTTCGTATTGTCTACTTGATGGTAAGAACAATGATTTGGCTTTAGAATTGACCTTTGTCTTGTGTCTATACAAGTAAGTATTACTTTGTTTTGGAACTAGATTTGGGAAATGATTCTGATGAGGTTATAGAGTAGTGAAAATATGTTTTGTAATGTCTGCTTGATGGTTAGAACATTGATTTGGTTTATATAATTGTCTCATGTCTTGTTTCTATAGAAGTAAGTGTTAGGTTGTTTTGGGACTAGATTTGGGAAATGATACTGATAGGGTTGTTGAGTAGTGAAAATATTGTTTCAATTGTCTACTTGAAGGTTAGAAAAATGATTTGGCTTTAGAATTGCCTCATGTTTTTGTCTATAGATGTAAATGTGTTATGGTGATTTTGGACTAGATTTGGGAAATTATTCTGATCATGTTATACAGTAGTGTAAATATGTTTTTGTATTGGCTACTTAATGGTAAGAGTGTTGATTTGGCTTCAGAAATGCCATGTTATGTGTCTATACACGTAAGTGTTATGTTGTTTTGTTGACTAGATTTGAGAAATGATTCTGGTGAGGTTATAGAGTAGTGAAAATATTTTTTGTATTGTCTGCTTTATGGTTAGAACAATGATTTGGCTTTAGAATTGGCCAATGTTTTTGTCTATAGAAGTAAGTGTTTAGGGTTTTAGTTGGGACTAGATTAAGGGAAAGGTTAGTAATAGGGTTTTAGAGAAATGTAACGTTTGGGCTAATTACAGTTTATGCTTAGGATTAGGTCAAGGATTAAAGCGGATTAGGAGTAAGTTTGAGGTTTAGATATGGACTAAGGGACTAAATTCAGGAGTTCGGATGCCCGAAGGCAGTGCTTGAGTTAACTCAGCTTTTATGGGTACCTGACTGTAGTTGGTAGAAGTTAAGGCGGCTGGGTGTAAAGCTGACCACTTTATCTATTCATAAGCTGTATTTGCATAAACAGATGAACTATATTTTATATTTTATCTCCTCATGAACCGGTAGGCTCAAAGTAGTAATAAAATTAATTAACTTCACTTTTAAACATATACTAATATTACGTGTTTTAAAGTATCTTTAAGAATCTAATAAAGGGGTTAGCAGTGAATTTAGATATATCATATGAACCATATAATTTTATACACATATTTAGTACGTAGTTTGTTATTCAAGTTTTTTAACCAAACATTTCTATATGAAACAACAGTAGGCGAACGTCCTAGAAGTATCGTGTAAATGTTTTCCCTTTCAGTCACCACCCTCCCTCCGTCCCAAACCACCACAAAACGCCCCACCACTGAGCCCAGCACCACAACTACCTCAACAACCACGACCACCCCGACCACCACCACCAGCACCACAACGGAACCAACGACACTTTTGATCACGGAACCAGTGACAACCACGCCTGAGACCACAACTACTACCACAAGTAAGTTTCCATTTTGTTTCGTTAAAAGTTAAAACTCTTGAACACAGCTTGTATTTCGCCGTGATACTTTTTGGTTTGTTTTATTATAAAACATAATTTATATACAAGCAGTCAGCATATATTTACTATCGTTTTTTGTTCTTCTTCTTTGTTCTTAATCTATAATGTTGGACGCAGTGTTTCTTCCAGACTTTTTTCTCCGGGGGGGGGGGGGGGGGGTACTTAAAATTTTTTGGGGGGACGGGGAGACGGGACACTCTTCAAAGTAGGCCTATATATTTTCTAAATAAATTCCATTTCGTCCCGGGGGGGGGGTGGGTTGGTGGAGGCGGTAGACGCTCTTATGGCGGGTCTCAGACCCCCCCCCCCCCAAGAGATGACTTGAAGAAACACTGGTTGGACGGGATTTCCTCCAACACAATTACGAATTACGTGTCAACTTGTTATACGCCATAAAGACAGTTGACCCCTATTTTAGCCTGTTTCGTTGTTTTTTTCTGGAACAGCGTGGTCAAATGGTAGAGCGTTTGGCTACTAGCCATAAAGTCTAGAGTTCGGATCTCGGTTCGACTTTTGTAACCGTAACGTGTCGCTGAGTCTACCCTCTCCTGATGGATACCTATCGCACGTTAGGGAAAGTAAAGGCGGCTGATCATAGTGCTGGCCACACCATCACTTCATAATTATGCCGAGGTCAAGAAAACATGAACTCCAGTTCATCTGCCCAATGGATCGCTAGGTCCAAAGAGAAACTTAACATTGTTTTTTTCTGGATCTGCGTCCATAGGAATTATTCATCCAAAAACAAACTACCAAGTAGTAGCTGTTACAAATCATATGTTATATTTATAACGATCCTTAGGGTAGCGAAATATTTTTTTTTAAATAATGAGAAAATTGTTCGTGTAGTCTGATGAATAGTAACTTTTTAATAAAGGGGCTATTTACTCTAATGCAGGCAACATTACTTGGGCGTTGCTAAAAGGTTTAGGGTATTGCCATTGGGCTGTTGTTTACAGACTATGGCAGTCATTGTTTCGTTGATGCAGTCACAGTTTCTAACATGAGTTTCAATGGCTAAGCTTTGGAACACTAAATGAACATTTTGCATCATGATTTGTTAAAGTTACACCCGTGTATGTGGGACGGTGGAGGCCTAGCGGTAGAGCGCTAGACTGCTAACCCGAAAGTCTCGAGTCGAATCTGGTTTCAAGTCAGTAGAACATCCCTTAGTCCACCCAGTTTAAATGGGTACCTAACTCACGTTAAGGAAAGTAAAGGCGGCTTGGCAAAGTGCTGACAACGCTTTCCCTTCATATACCGTGGTCACAGAAACAGGTGAACTCTACTTAACTTGCTACATCATGGTATACAACTTTAATTCAACGTGAAGCATATATCTACTTGATGTAACACTTGGCTTGGTGTATCAAATTTGAAGTGAAGCTGAAATAAGTAGGCCCTATGTCCAATGCAAGAAAATTATTGCAAAGCTATTTTGCGTATAATGCAATTTTTTTCAACCATTTCACACTGTGTCCAGAAAACCACACGTTCAAATTACAGCTATATTAAGAAGCACGCCACTTTTTTTCAGTGGCGCAATAAAATAGTTCATAATTATTCCAAGGACGATTACACAATCTCTTTATCAACATGCAGCCAATCAGTGTTTCAAAGACATCCTTAATCACTTGCTAATTTTATTGGTTCGCTTTATCTATTTGCACGCCATCCTTACTTTTATCTGGCCACAAATGCCACAAATTACCACAAACTCTCTGGGTGATTTGGACTGGAATTTAAAACATGCTCTGAAGTATTGGTGAAAAACACATTTTTAAATGCATGTATTTTAAATAACCTTATAAGAGGAAGGACATTATATAGGCTTATATTGTATAGTACTTAAAATATTGATTTTTTCATTGAAAATTACAATATGTTACAATAATATATAATTAAACATGTATTTAACAAATAGCTTGAGAACTTTTGAGGTCTAGGTTCCATAACAATCATCCAAATCTCAAAGGGGACATGACTAAACTAAAAAAAACGAAGTCTAACAATCCGTTCAGATGAACTCTACTTCATCTTCACCCAGTTAATTTTGATGACGTGCCTAAACGTTATTTGCTTATCTCCACAGCCACCACGACCACACCCACCACAACGGAGCTCCCCACACCCTTAACCACATCGCGAGTGGATATCATTAGAAAAGGTAGGGGCTTCACATTGATTATAACATACTTTTGTATGAGCTTCACATTAACTATCACACATTTTGAATTTTAATATTTAAAATAATATTTTTTTTAATATTTAAAAATCTAAAAATAGAATTTTAATTTCATATTTAATTTTAAATTCACTATCACATATTTTATGTATTGTCTTTCTATTGAATAACAAATGTTTTCCTTTATCGGACTTCGCATTCAATATTTCTACTTCACTACTATTCTGTTTTCAACTATCATTTATTTAGTTGTTTTATACTATTTTTCTGTTGTTTTGAATTACCGTTTTGTTGATTTCCACTCGCCTTTGGTTGTTTCTGTTATAATTTTTTTTTTGTTTGATGTATATTATTTTGTCTTTGTTTTCTCTTTTCTTTGTTGTACCCTATATTTTGTTTTGTATATACTATGTTTCGAAATTGTCCACTATTTTCTAATACCAAGTGCGACAATATTATCTCTGCTTAAAGGCTAATTGCATTCCTGCATAATTTGCTTATAAATTCAGTTGATATTTTTACTAGATTAGGTAGTAGAAAACAGATAGTACATTTTAGAAACCTTATATCTTTCTTGAAATATAAATTAACACGAATTTTTGTAAGTAAGTGTGATGGATGCTGCTTACAGATGTGATCAGTATTAATACAAAACTGTTATGTGTACAAGTGATACGCTTGTTGCAGAATAGCACATAGAGCGAGCAAAATGCGTCTTCCATCTCTAACAAAGCTGATAAAGCGCATTGCCACAAGGAAACTAAACGCACCATTATGAAGATCGCTTTACAAATCCAACTGTTTTTTTTTTGACTCAACAAGACACGCATCGTTTCAAAGTTAAAAAGTCGAAACTCACCGATAAAAGTGATAAATCGTTCAAACACATACACATACTTAATACTACAAAAACACACACACACAACCAAATCATTTGCTAAACCACACACACATAACCAAATTATCTTTAGAACCACACACACACAACCAGATATTGAGCCAAACCACACACACACAACCAAATTATCCGTAGAACCACACACACAACCAAATCATCCGTAGAACCACACACAGAACCATATCATCCGTAGAACCACACACACAACCAAATCATCCGTAGGACCACACACACAACCAAATCATCCGTAGAACCACACACACAACCAAATCATCCGTAGAACCACACACACAACCAAATCATTCGTAGAACCACACACACAACCAAATTATCCGTAGAACCACACACACAACCAAATCATCCGTAGAATCACACACACAACCAAATCATTCGTAGAACCACACACATAACCAAATCATCCGTAAAACCAGACACAACCAAATCATCCGTAGAAACACACACACAACCAGATATTTTGCCGAACCACACACACAACCAGATATTCTGCCGAACCACTAACTTAACTGCCGAACTACACAAACACACACACACCTGCCGACCCACACACACACAACCAAATCATCAGCAAAACCACACACACAACCAAATTACTCACGTAACCACACACACGCAACTACCGAACCACACACCCAACCAAATACATCTGTGGAACCGATTCTCTCAAATAGCCTCATTCACTTCCTTGAGTGATCCTAAAAATAAACCCCCAACGTCTTATTTTAGAAACCTCGTGTTTTTGTTTGAGCTCTTAGCTCTATCAACACGAAAAACACCTGCTCTGGGACCGGATGGAACCCAGGGGCTGCCCTAGGTGAACTGACACGACCCAAATGGCCTGGCCTTAGACGCAGACGATATTCTGGAGTCACTTCTGCACCTTTTGTTATTACGAACCTCTGTGTAAATACCTCATCATCCGTGCCTTACCTGTGATTGTAGATACTTATTTTTTTTTAACACCGGGCTTCTCATTGACAATTTCGTCGTAAATCTTACACGTTGATAGTATTTTCACGTCATTACCTTATAAACAAACAGTTACAAATCGTGTTAGATTAAAATAAAGAAAACCTTGAAGAATAAATAAACATCGGTAATGTGAAAGTTTATTGCTAAAAATTATGGGATTGAAGTTGAAACACAGAGACTGAGTTAACTATGTTGTGGAAGTAACTTTGGCGTCCAAAATTAGATTAAAGCTAGATAAAAATCACAAATGTCTACATAAATTCAACATAATTTGTTTCAATGTGACGTTTAAGGGTCTTATTTTTACAGCACGTAAAAACGCGTGCCATAAATAAAATTATTCTAGTCTACCGTCAGCGGACGTACAATGGTATTAAAGAGAGAGAGACATAGGTTGTTTAACTTCTATGATACTGCTGTCTGTTGGCGAAGAAACGTAAATATATTGGAATATATACTGCATCGCTTCTTTGAGACGAGGAAGGAATGTCCGTTTTTCTTAACGCGTAATATGTGTCTGACGAATGATCTCAGACAAAATATCCCAGACAAAATATCTCAAGGACAAATGAGCTCAGGACAAAATATCTCAGTACAAATGATCTCAAGGACGAATTATCTAAATGACATTAATGATCTCAAGGACAAATTTCAGGAGAAAATATATCAGGACAAAAGATACCTTGGACAAATGATCTCATACAAAATATCTCAGGGCAAAATATTGATAGTATTTGGGAACTTTATTAATATAAATGTCCAACAGAGTAACACTAGCAGTTTCACACAGACATAAATCTGCGTACTTAATAAAGCTGGATGAGCCCATGAACTTGTAGATAGATTAACTTTAAAGTAATTCCAGAATACTGTTGTGATATTTGTCATACCACAAATAACAAAACTCTCTTATACAACATAAATCTTTAACAGTACGTAGCACTAAGCACTGTAGACGTAGCACTAAGCACTATAGACGAAACACTAAGTACTATAGACGTAGCACTAAGTACTATAGACGTAGCACTATGCACTATAGACACTGCATCTATCAAGACAAAAACTAGGTGTATTTCAAATAAGGCAATGACCATATGGTAATATTGTAACCCAGCATAGGGAGGAATGGAATAAGCTTGAATGGGGCCCCGGGCTCCTGTCTTGTCAGCCCTGCCGTTTAATCCGCCTCTGAGCCTAGGCAATATGACTTAGTTCTTAAACCGTTTGAAGCGAAGTGTCTTCATATAATGAAACGTAATTCTTACAATGGTTTTACGTCGAGTGTAGTTCATGAATGGGCACGTACCTCTGTTAAGGACCAGATTTCCTGTCCACCCCCCCCCCCCCCCAACTCAACCCATTCTTTTTATGTGTAGTGTCTACACGCCACTTCATTGAATAGTCTCGAGTACATTGTTATTCAGACCTAAAAAAAAAAGATTAAATTTAAATGCGTAATTTAGCAGAGGTAACGCTATTCTCAAATTTTGTTTGATACAGCAGCTATTTTAACAAAATAGAGCTGGATTTGTTTTTATATCATGGACTTTGTGCTTAGAGAAAACATTCACATTATTTAGATTAATTGAAAGAAAAGCATGATGAACAAGAGAGTGTTATAATGCTAACCATTCTCTAAGAAAAATTACACCGTTGGCTATTTATTATGGTGTTTGTTAAACCAGTCAAGTTGGGGTCCTTGCACTAGGATATAATGTAATACTGGACGCTGCAATACTGGACGCTGCAATATATCACACTGTATTCAAGACGCTGCAATACTAGACCTTGTAATACTGGAGCATGCATTAATGGACCCTGTACTACTGGACCCTGCAATTAGTGACACTGCTATATTGGACCCTACAATACTAGACCCTGCAATACTGGACCCTGCTATACTGGACACTGCAATACTGGACCCCAGCTATACTGGACCCTACTATACCTGACCCTGCTATACTTGACCCTGCTATACTGGACCCTGCACTCGTGAACCCTGTAACATTGGACTACAATACTACATTGCAACATTTTCCTAAAAAAGGCCTACATTATCTTCCTCCCACTCACGTACTAACTGGACCCTCATTTCTAAATAACGTGAGGACCTCTACTGTACCACTTTAAAAGCTAAAGTAGATCCTTCCCTCTGCGCATGACAGCTACGAGACGCTAGCAAGCTGCAAGATACGCTGAAGTAGAACACACCGCATGAGACCAATAACTCGAACATTAAGTTTAAAAAAAAAATCATAATGCATGTTTAAATATTACAATGTCACCCATGTGAACTGCTGACATTTGATTTTATAATGCTTGAATACCACGCCTCGATGAATAGTCTGTTTGGGGTAAAAAAAAGACTAAAAGAATCTAGCACTAAAGACGTCTGAAGATGTCTTATAAAGGTTAAAGCAATGTAGCCTACATAAAGGACATTGTTACATTTTTTGATAGCCTGTGGAGTCGATCTTATAACTAAGTGTTCTACTGCCTCTACATTGATTTAGATTACGTTTAAACTTAGGCACGTTGGTTGGTAGGTACCCAAAAGAGCTAGGAAATGGCAGTTAGGCAAAGCGCTGAACTTAATTCCGTACCTACTCCAAAGTCTGAGAAATAGATACATTGATTTTATAAGCTCAGGGAATAAACTAGTCTCAAAGTGTAATATTATTTTTTTTAAAAACTCAATACAATACAATGTTAAACTGTAACAATATTTTCAAAATGTTATTGCCAATTTTTAATGTTAATCTTTCTATTTTCACGCGTCTAATGCAAATTCTGTTAAGAATTAGGTTAGCCTGCGGGCGATACTATGGTCTTTAGACTGTTCCCTACACTTGCTTACGTTTTGCAAAAAAATGTTACAAAAAAAAATATTATATACCATCATATTTGTGTAGTTATTGATATTTACAGTTCTTTAAAAAAAATAATTAAATATGCATTGGAACATTTGGCAATAACCAATAACATTTTATAAGTAAACAAGTAAGTACAAGCAAATAAATATAAACATATTCTTGTCGTACGTCTTCTGTAAACACAGTTTATTCTTCATGAGCATGATAGAATAAAGATGTCGTTTCTATATTACCTCCTTGGTTTGTACACTGTTGCCATGGTAACTGTGCTATAGCTCCCATTGGTCTACCCTTTAACCAGTGCTGACATCGCCCCCCCCCCTCTTTGTGTCCCTGTTAACTGTGCTGTAGCTCCTATTGTCCTAGCTTTAACCAGTGCTGACACCCCCCCCTGTGTCCCCAGTGTGTGAGATGTTAATAGTCGACGTCGTCTCTACAATACCCCTTTGGTCTGTCCACTGTTGTCATGGTAACCGTGCTATACTTCCCATTGACTAGCTTCAACCAGTATCCCCCCCCCCTTTGTGTTCCCCAGTGTGTGAGATGAAGACGGTGGACGTCGTGTTCGCTCTGGACTCCTCCACCAACATCTCCCCCATGGCCTTCTGGCACCAGGTCAAGTTTGTTCGTGACGTCACCGTGGGGCTGGACATCGGGTTCGACCGGACGAGGATTGGTGTCGTCATATACAGTGACAAGGTAAATCACGTGACCTTCTGGGGTGCAGGTGGGGAGGGGTGGGTTACGGATAGAAGAAAGGCGTATTTAGGAGAGTTAATTTAAATATTATGGGGTGGAGAGGGTGGGTTACGGATAGAAGAAAGGCGAAATTAGGGGAGTTGAATTAACAATTAATTATGGGGTGTAGGGGGTGGGTTACGGATAGAAGAAAGGCGCATTTATGGGAGTTGAGTTAACTATTAATTATGAGGTGGGGGAGGCGGGTAGGTTACTGATAGAAAAAAGGTGTATGAAGTGGAATCGATTGAACTATTAATTACAAATTGTTTGAGTGAAAAGTGTATGGGGGGGGGATTTCAGACATATTCGTATCATTTTGATTAATCGATCTGTTATTGATCCTAATTTGACTTACTGACTTGTAACCATGCAGGTAATGCATATATTTACTATGGCTTGTTACATAGTTTTTACAACGCCGTAACTTAACCGAGTTTCTGTTTTTTAAAAAAAGCTATAAATAGTTGTTAAAGTTAACCTCACAGTTTTCAATATGTATGTCTCCAACCCCTCCGCCCTTTCCACCCCGTAAGTTTGTATCTAAAGAGGTCGAGTAGGAAGTGATATTAGGTTTATGGTTGTTACCTTTGGGATATATAAAAACTGTACTCAAGGCTCAAAGGTAGTGTACCTAAGGTTAACGTTACCGCCCTTGATATCAGAAATTAACTAGTATACTTAACCAAGTTATTCGTATTTATGTCGAAGTCTTCTGGTTCATATTTTATGAGATACATCAAAGATTTAATTCTGAGTCCAATTAATTCGCCCGCTATTGCAACAAGTGTAGTGTATTAAGTACTACATATCTCGTGAGTAGGTTATATAGCCCAGGGATAATAACTTTACAGTTCGTAAGATAAGTTACATTTAGTATTAGGATAAGTACTGAACAGCTCGTAGGATAATTAGAATCATAGGGGATACGAACTACACACATTGTGGGATAAGTCGCATCTGGTATAAGGATAAGTACATCAAATTTCGTAGGATAAGTCATATGATCTAGGGATAAGTATTTGATAGGATAGGCTACATTGTCTTGTGATAATAACTGGGGAAGGGGGGAATTGGAAATGTGACGTCAAATATAGAAAACAAAATATTATCACAAACATGATAATCAATTCAATGCGATATTTATAATTCGATTAAGAAAGAGGATGGATTAGGTAGAAGTTTCGTGACTTTATTTTCGGTTATTAATTAGGTCAGAATGGCTTGAAAACGTTTATTAACGACCGCTATACATTCTAAATATATCAAACATATAGTAAAAAAAAAAGGATGCATCACTTCATTAGCATATCGATGTCATTTTAAAGTATCCTCTATAATTATCTAGTCAGTACACTGGAGTGAGGGGGAGAATTGGGTGGAGTTGAAACTGCTATCGTTGTTAGGAGAGCTGACGGTTTAAAAGTGCTGACGTCATCTCAATTTCTGCTCGCTCCTGGGTGGGCGAACCACGTGATGCCCGCGTGGCGGTACTCATTCAGTGACCTTGGTTGTTAATCAGTCCGTAACCTTAGTAGTATCATCTCCACCCCACCCTTTATCCCCCATCCTCAATCCCAACAGTTTATACCACCCCCTCCCCCAAATGAGTTGTTAATTAAATGCAGCGTCTATGAACGCGCCTAAAAGCATTTTTAGAATTATTGTTTTTGTGCGAAAACATCGACTGCTTTTGAGTAAAGCAAAACCAATTTATTACTAATTAGTTTTTTAATTAAGAGATTATTTCCTTTAATTTTCATACTCCTGTGATATAATAATAATAATAATAAAAAGAACATTTTTTATTTATATGATTATTAAAATTATTATAATTAGCATTATTTTTATCATTATTATTATTTATATAAATAAAAATAAAAATAATAATAATAATAATTATTATTATTATTATTATTGTTATTATTGGTTTTGGCCTGTTATTGTTTTTTTTTTAAATATCAATAACTATAAATTAAAATATAAACAAAAAGTTATAGGTTTACAGTAATTGTAATAAACAACATATTTTCATGTAGCTGACTGCTATACATAGATTCAGATCAATTAATCCGTGGTTATAATTAATGCCAATCATTAGTGTCAAACTAAATTAGCCATAACTGCTCTTGAAAATAGAATATATTACTCCGTGGACCACCCCTACAATTTGGTCCGAGTATTTTGCAATACGTGTAGATTAGCTAGTCAAAGAACTGACTCGTGTCTAATGCTGTATAAAGTGTAGGGGAGGGTTATCATACTGGGGGTTATAACCCCCATATTGACCCATATAACGGCAACTGTATTTAAGCTATATGAATATAGTTTTAAAATATAATCAATTTAGAATTTTTCATTTTCATATAAAGTTATGTAAAAACAATCTAAGGATAAGATCCCAGGGTATTAATTTTGAGACTCTTTGAATTGGGATAGAGTTGGGTACCCATTAGAGCTGCGTAAACTCAGAGACAATCTGCGATTAGGAACCCGGGATATGTAATTCGAGACTCTCTGGATCTCGATAGCGTTGGGTACCAATTACAACTGGGTGAACTCAGGGACAATCTGCGATTAAGATCCCGGAGTATTGAACTCGATAACGTTGGGTACCCATTAGAGCTTCGTTAACTCAAAGAGAACCCGGGGTATGTAACTCGAGACTCTCTGGATCGGTATAGCGTTGGGTACCCATTAGAGCTGCGTTAACTCAAGGAGAACCTGGGGGTATGGAACTCAAAACTTCCGGGTTAGCAGTTGTATACTCTACCACCCAACCACCCCGTCCCCGTCTAGAGAGTACCCACCCACACAATTTTCATCCTCTCATCTGACTACACAGGTGGTGTCCGTGTTCAACGTCAACGATCACGAGACGTTAAACGAGGCACTGACGAAGTTGTACAAGATAGAGCGGACTGAGGGGAGCACCAAGATTGACGAGGTCATCCACTATGTGCGGACCAAGAACTTCAAGAGAAGCGTGGCCAGAAAGGATGTCGCTCAGGTAAGGTTGCTGGTGCTGGTGGTGGCAGAGGCAGAGGCGTAGCGAGGGGAGGGTGATGGTGCTGTTTGTGGCAGAGGCGTAGCGAGGGGAGGGTGATGGTGCTGTTTGTGGCAGAGGCGTAGCGAAGGGGAGGGCGTAGTGCTGTTGGTGGCAGAGGCGTAGACTAGGGAGGGCGTAGTGCTGTTGGTGGCAGAGGCGTAGACTAGGGAGGGCGTAGTGCTGTTGGTGGCAGAGGCGTAGACTAGGGAGGGCGTGGTGCTGTTGGTGGCAGAGGCGTAGACTAGGGGAGGGCGTGGTGCTGTTGGTGGCAGAGGCGTATCTCAGGTAGGGGCTGGTGCTGTTGGTGGCAGAGGCGTAGACTAGGGGAGGGCGTGGTGCTGTTGGTGGCAGAGGCGTATCTCAGGTAGGGGCTGGTGCTGTTGGTGGCAGAGGCTTAGCGAAAGGAAGGGCGGGGGGGGGGGGGGCGCCCCGGGCCCCGACATTACGGAGGAGCCAAACTGGGTAGAAATAATAAATAAAAAGCTCGTTCTGAGCTGCGTTACTAATAATGCAGTTAAGGTAAAGAAAATACACTGCTACTAGACTTAACGGACTTTTGAAACTGTTTTCTACATCAAACGAGGGACATCATAATAAAAATAGGGTAAGGAATGGATCGCTACGCCTCTGGTTGGTGAGTTTTGCATGTATAACAGTCCGTTAGGGTTAAAGTGCAGGGGTTGATGTACAAGGGGTTGTCTAGTGGGTTTATGTCAGGTTTCTGCATGTATTGTAGACGCTCGGGTAAGAGGCTGGTACCATGCTGGGGTTCTGCTTGTATTATTTTCGATTAGGTGATGTCTAGAACTTGTATAAAACAAGTTGACTTAAAGAAATGGGGGGGGGGTATCATCTAGGTGGGGGGTTATATCCAAGGGGGGGGGGGGAGTTGGGTTTATATCTAAATGGGTTTATTTCTGTAGTGCAAGGGGCTTTAAGTCCGGAGCTTTAAATTAAGTTTTATGTCTAAATGGGCTTATGCACAAGTGGTCTTATGTTCTAGTCGTGTATAGCGTATGCACAGATAACCTATGTACAGAGGAATTTATGCCAAGTTTGAACCGGGCACGCTACTTTCATTCACTTCATATCTCACACAGATAAATGTTTGTAGCTAGATACATATCATACAACTTTTAAAATGTGAATCGAATTCACTGGATAGTGAAGAATTGAAGTTTTCTGTTCACTGTCTGAAGATTTTGAGGGAAGGGGATGTAGGGATGACAAGAAATATAGCATGCCTCATAATAAATGGGTTGGTGTTGTTTCAATTTTGTTGGGTGCTAATTATAATTGTTTTGATTAATTTACAGCTGATGGTCTTAATTACTGGAAGTTCTTCTAAAAATCTCCACAAGGTGAAGAAGGAAGCCAGTATGGCGAGAAAGACAGGCATTGAAATCATGGCCATCGGTAGGTTTGTGGGTGGTGGGAATCAATGTTTCTTCCAGACTTTTTTCTCCGGTGGGCTTGATATTTTTCTGGGAGGGGGGGGGGGGGGGGTCGGGAGGTGGGGGGGGGGCGGACACTGGTAAAAGTATATAAGTTCTCTTTAAATTTCCACTTCTTTCGGGGGGAGGGGGCGGTAGACTTTCTTCGGGGGGGCGGTGCCCCCACCCCCCTCCCCCGAAGAGATGCCTGGAAGAAAACACGTGGGAATCTAAGTTGTAGCCATCTGTATGAATAGTGGTTCCTTGTTTTTACTTATGTTTAGAGCAAATTAAAATGGGAAAGACGGGCCTGAGGATTATGGTCGATCATCAGTGGGTTATTGGAAGAGTAAATTAGAATAAGAAAACATAAGAACATCGGACTAGTCATAGTATGTTGTTTTGTAAAGGGGTCGGAGAAGAAAGTTATAAATTTTCAGTAAAATATTTAAACCCGATTAGATTATATGCAGTTCGTTGTTAAACGGTACCGACCAATAGTCAAGGCGAGATAACTCACTTCCTTGGAATGAAAAAATAGAAAATAAGGGGAGATTATCGAAAGTATAATAGGAGTAAGCAACATACCGTTATGTCTGAACTGCAGGACAAGTAAAATATTTATACATTTTATTTTTATATACTCTAATTTATTTTTAAAATAAAATTCGGAAGGAAAATATTTTACCAGAAAATACAAAATTCTTTAAAAATGCTTTCAACTTTAAAAAAAAACACCGATGGAACAAAATTTGAATGTCCATACCTTGTTTTTGCATGCCATAATGGCAGTGTTTTTTACCCTGCAAATGACCCAGTAACAGACAGACACAGACAGACTAAGTACCGGATACGACCCAACACATGGAAAAACCACAGCGACACAACAGCTATTACGTTTTACAGTGCCATTTTATTTTTAACAACGCTTTTGTCGAGTTCAGTTTTAAGTTTAAAAATATTGTCGTATCACAAAAAAAAACTAAGATAGGCAAACAACAGGACTTTGATCCCCGCCTCAAAAATTAAATTTGTACATACTTTTTTATAGATTCTTGTTTCATTACAATATTATCTTGTACTGTTGATACGGAGTTTTTTTTTTAAATTAAACCTCAAAAGACTTCGACAATGCATGACCTATCGACGTTTAGAGACGTACTTGTCCTGGGTATTAAAATCAAGATAATATCATACTGCCTTATCCATCGGAGTTTGATGAAGCAGCTTCCCAAGCATCACCATCCCCACCTCCCGATGAGCAAACCAGCAAATGTTAAGGCACAATGAAGTTAACCCCCCCCCCCCCCGCTACCAAGCCGTAATGACATTTACCCCCCTCCCCCACCAAGCCATACAGGCGTTTACCCCCCCCCCCCCCACCAAGCCATATTGACGTTTACCACCCCCCCACTCCCCCAATAAGCCAAATACGTTTACCCCCCCCCCAGCCATAATGACGCTTACCCCCCCCCCCCCCACCAAGCCATGAAGACGTTTACCCCCCTCCCCCACCAAGCCATACAGACGTTTACCCCCCCCCCCCCCCCACCAAGCCATATTGACGTTTATCCCCCCCACCAAGCCATACAGACGTTTACCCCCCCCCCCCACCAATCCATAATGACGTTTACTCCCCCCTTCCCCAATAAGCCACAATGACGTTTACCCCCCATTATAAAAAAATCAAAACGACGTCAACTTCCAACTCTAAGACATAATCACCTTTGTTCCCTACACAACGACAAGTTTACTCCCCCTCACTAACACACATCTACTCCCCCACACTAACACACTTCTACTTCTACTCCCCCACAGGTGTGGGCCGCAAGTACAACCCCGAGGAACTACAGGTACTCGCCGGGTTGAACTCCGTAGACAGCAGCACCGACAACAAATTCGCGCCCTTCTTTGAGGTCGGCGAGAACACGAGACGCCGCAAGACCTTTATCGTGGGCTCCTTTAGTGAGCTGGACACTATCGTCACAGAGACAGCCGTAGAGCTATGCACTGGTGGGTGAAGTTGTTAACTAGCTAGCGTATCAGCATGTTGTTCTTTAAAGGCACGGGTTCGAATACTAGTCGTACGGGTGTTTATATTTAGATCCTCGTGAATTTTTGAGATTTCTAATTCTAATATGGACACGATCATCACAGAGACTGTGCACTGGTGGGTGAAGCTGTTAACTAGCTAGCTTATCAGCATGTTGTTCTTAAAGGCACGGGTTCGAATACTAGTCGTGCGGGTGTTCATATTTAGATCCTCGTGAACTTTTTAATTATTTTTTTGGGGGCTTTCTAATTCTAATATGGACATGATCATCCGATAGAGACTGTGCACTGGTGCGTGAAGTTGTGAACTAGCTAGCGTATCAGCATGGTAATCTTAACTGCACAGTGTCAGGTTCAAATACTAGTCTACTGGTGTTTATATTTAGATCCTCGTGAATTTATTGAGCTTTCTTATTCTAATATGGACACAATGATAGTTATAGAGTATGTAAAGACCACTAGAGATTATAAATATCTTATCATCATTGTATTTACCTGAGTAAATAGAATCACATTGACTTTACTTCATCTGCTATATCCAACAATGCCTTACTGTAAATTTACCAAGCAAATTATAAATTTACCTTTGTTAAATATTGTGATTTAATAGAAAACAAAGGGTCGGCGTTGTCTGAACGGTAAAGCTCATAGTTTCTAAACCGAAAAGTACCGAGTTCGAACCCCAACCAGACGAGGCTTGATAGCTGGTATACCAGAATACCATGTAGGAGAAAAACTCCTAAACCAAACAACTGTTCCTATGTAGATTGTTCTTGGGTGGACAAAGGCTATGGCAGCAAACAAAGAAATGCAGGGCCACGTAATACTTGAGTTGGAAGAATTCCCGTCCAATGTAGCAATTAAGAATGAAAAAGAATTGAACTCTCAGTTATACACAAATCAATGATCAACTTCTCTCTTCGGCTTAAGATTTTTTCAACAAATGTATGTGTATTTTTAATCTTTTTTATTTCATCTTTAGCTGAGGTCTCCCCGATAGCCATTGCCGATCAAGGTACGTAACTCACAACATATCAAATAGAATCATATAACTTTCTCAGATATTGCGTTCATAAATCTTCGTGTTGTTACAATTTAATATGTGTCATGTTAAAATATTGGCGTTCCTTTATTATCACTTAAGTTACTAAAAAAAAAAATAAAAAAAATTAAAGTTGAAATAAAAATGGCTAAGTTCTACAAGTCATAGATTGCTTTGGAATAAAATAAAGAACACTTTAATTAACTCTTTTTCTGAGATGAAAGACGCAGTATTTAAAAAAAAAAACGACTTAAAAGGTTCTAATGAATTACATGGTGTTTTAAAATATGCACGTCCATCGGTCAAAGGGAAATAACTCATGTAATTAAAACATTACATTACTGCAGTGGTTATCTTACAAGAATTTACACAACATTCATGTAAATTAGGTCTAAGACAAATCCCCTCAATGCAATGGACCAAATGCGACAAATGCCCGAGTTACGTATGTTACATTTGGACAAACGGCCTTAGGACAATGTCTTTCGGCCTAACGTCCTTCTCCCATGTAAATGGTACGGATGGTAAGGTCATCAAATCACAACGAATCTCCTAAACCACCTTCCCCCTTTTTCCCCCAATTCAATTTTATTCTTTTTTCCCCGTTGAAATAGGTATATGTGATAATTAAATTACTTATATTGCTCTACATAAAATCATAAAAAATGTCTAACACCCCCCCCCCCACCCCCTCCGCTCTCTCCGTGCAGCCTGTGGGTCGAGGCAGGAGGCCGACATGGTGTTTGTGATGGACAGCGAGAGCGCGGGCCGGAAGAACACCCAGAAGGTGACCGACTTCATGAAGACCGTGGCCAACTCCGTGGACCTCAGCAGCGAGACCATACAGATGGGCATGCTGCAGCCAGACGATTGTGAGCCGTCCGTCCATTCGTTCAAGTAAGTCTTGGCCGTCCATTCTTTTAAGAAAGTCTTGGCCGTCCATCCTTTCAAGTAAGTCTTGGCCGTCCATTTCTTAAAGTAAGTCTTAATCGTCCATTCCATCAAGTAAGTCTTGGTCGTCCTTTTCTGGAAATAAATGTTGGCCGACCATTACTTGAAGTTAGTCTATGGCCGTCTGTTAATTGGAGTAACTGCTTGACGTCCATTCTTTCAAGTAAATTATATTACAGTAATTGATATAAAATACATTAATCTTACAAAAGTATTAGATATGGTTTCATGTTATAGGCAAAAATAATTCATGTTTATTGCCTAATTTTCATGTAAATAAATATAATGTTTGCCGTCCGTTCGTTTAGGTAAATGTTTGCCGTTCTTTTTTTCAAATAAATGTTGGCCGTCCATTTCTTCAAGTAAACGTTAGCCGTCCATTCCTTCAACTAATCTTCAGTGTTAGGTAGCGTCCATTTTGACGATGTGCTTTAAAACCTCTGTTTAAGCATCACATTATCATTGAAGAATTAACATTGACATATTCAGTAGTTTAAAAATTTAAACACTCATTCAGTTTATGAACAAATAATGTTTAGATTATTTTTTCTTAGCTTAAAATGTGACTCTTAGTTATTTTTTTCCTGTGTGTTTTAAAGTAAAAACCAGATACCTGTTTAATTATTTCAGGCTTGATGGAGATCGTGATCACTTAGTCTCGTCATTGGATGGTCACGACGCCGACAAATTACCCCGCCTGATTCGTGAACTACGGCGACATGAGTTCAACGCCAAGAACGGGGCAAGGAAGGACGCTAAGAAGGTGAAGTACTCACCTCCATTTTACAATATTGTTCAAAGCCGGTCCGCTACACTCAGGCATAGTTTAGCGTTTTGTGTGTGAGAGGCAGATAAAGTGTGGGTGATCATGCATGCTAATTATTAATTAAGTCGTCAACCCAAATACCAGCAGTTCCAGGAGTTTTTAATTTACTGTTCATTGTAAAACTTTGAAAAAGGCAAAGGAAACATAGATTACCAGTCACTAGCGTAACAGAAGAATATTAAAAACAAACTACATTATAACATATTTTTTTGTTTGAAATACCTTTTCTTATGTAATTGAAAAAATGTGTATTTAAAATACTTATAATGAACATTGATTATGAATAATGTGCTTAAAGTTAAAGAAAATTATATTTGTACTTTTTAATTAAATTACTGAAAAAAATATATGATAGTTTATTAATTGTATGTAGTTTTTATTTACCGCTTTACAGATATCAATCATTTCTCTCTTTACAGATAGCAATCATTTTAATTGATGGCGAACTGGCAGAGCCACTGAAAGCTTTGAGAGAAGCCAGAAGGGCAAACTTGAGGGGCATTGAGGTAAGTCATTATGTTAGAAGGGCTAATTTAAAGGGCATTCAGGTACGTTATCAATGTTAGAAGGGCTAATTTGATGGGCATTCAGGTAAGTTATCAATGTTAGAAGGGAAAATTTAATGGGCATTTAGGTAAGTTATCAATGTTAAAAGGGCAAATTTAAGGGGCATTTAGGAAAGTCATCAATGTTAGAAGGGAAAATTTAAGGGGCATTTAGGTAAGTCATCAATATAAAAAGGGCTAAATTTATAGGCATGGATGTTAGTAATGAGAGAAGAGCTAACTTAAGGGCAAATAGTTAAATACTAATGAAAACAAATCTTATATAACATACATTTCAATTCAACAACACTTCTGTTCAAAACTACAAAAAACAATTCTAATGCACCTGTCATATAAAGCCTCTAAGAAACCCCCACTCTTTCTTCTGGAACCAGGTTTTCATCATAGTTGTGAGCAAGGACCCGCCCCAGCCAGAGATCAACAGCATGTGCGCCTACCCCCCTGAGAACCACTTATTCCAGGTGCCGGATTACGATAAATTACAAGACTTGCAGGATAGCCTCATTGATATGTTATGTGATGGTAAGCACTCTTATGTTTCTTTACATCAGATCGTATGTGATGTTGAACACTGTTATTTTTTATGTTGAATTCTCTCTTGTTATGTGATGTTAAACAATTTTATGTTTTTTTTTTATGTTGAATCTTTTTATGTGATATTGAGTAATGTTATGTTTCCTTATGTCAGACATTTTTATGTTAAGTTGAGAAATGTTGTTTTTCTGTGTAAAATCTCCAATGTGTCAAATCTTACAATGTGTTGAGTCTTTGTGGTCAAAAATTTATTCCCCTGTATCATATCATCTTGCTTTCATGTGGAATCTATGCAATCTTAAGAGATAAATAACTGTTTTTCTTGCATCAGATTTTCTTATTGACCTGAAAAAAAAGTGTCGTCCCCCTCCCACCCCCCCCCCCCCCCAACATCCAGACTATGTGATCTTAGGCAAACATTTTTTTTTTTAAACTTTATCTTTACTATGAGCATTGGTTAATCACAATCATTCTGCATTTTTGGTGGGAATAGTTTCATATTGATACAAAAATGTAAGAGCCTTATTTGAACTTTAATAAGCAAAAGATAAATAATGCATGACAAACAAATAAATTAAAAATGTAATCAATATTGCCCAAAAAGTATTATTGCTTCATGCCGTTTCACATCAATCATAATTTAAAATGGAAATAAAACTGTAAAAATTAAATACATCAAGGATGAAAGAATATCATTGATTAATTCAAAAAAATTAAAACTGTTAACTAAAATCATTTTTCTACTTTCAGAATTGTAGCCGCTCAACTATGGAACTGTAAATAGAATCAAGATTGTTTTTTTTTTTGGTCAACAATTGCTTGTAAAATATTATTTCAACTTTAATCATTGTTATGAAATTCCTCTCACGTATTAATTACTTCTTTTTATATTCCCTGTCCTGGTTAAGCTTATCGTCTTCCACGTCTGTTATGTTAAAAACTATGTAAATTAAAGATGAATGTGTCTTGAATGTTACTGTATTCATTTATACCACTGCAAATAAATATCCTGAATTATTGTTTATTGTATGTATTACCTAAAATGAAAAGAACACAGAACTCATCATAACTTGAAAATAGTAAACTGAATACAAAAAGGGAATATTTTTAAAAAAGTAGAAATATATAATTTTATTTTAGATTCAAAAGGTTATCTTAAAAAATTTATATTTGAATTTCATACTAAGCTTACACATATGTAGCCTTTTTTTTACTTTTAATTTTCAACGTCATTTAGACGGAGTTCTCATACAGACAAATAAGATAAATAATTACAGACAATTTATTTAAAAAAAAATTTTAACTAATATAAATAAGAACATACTTGTTAGGAAAATTTTAAGAGTTTGTATTAATAACTATGAAGAAAAATTTATAAAACATTTTTTAACATTAAGTACCTCACGAAAACAGATAAGTATTCTCAGGAAAAAACAACTGAATTGTCTTTAGCGTTGAAGGTTCCCACTGTTGTTTTTTTAACTCAGCCTGGCTATTGAGTTCAGTCTATGCTAGTCTCTGTTAGATTAAAAAAAAAGTTGAACAATTTTAAAATATACTTTTTGTCTAAACTTTTGATGCTAGTCTTAAAAACACTTCTGTTAGATTAAAAATATAAACTTAAATATATTTGTGAAGGTATTTTTTTCAATAATGTTAACTAAAATTGTGTCTATGTGACATAAACCTGAAAATTGAAAAAAAAAAGGAAAAAAAAAACTGTTATAACTTTGTTTCAAACATTTTGATTTTTACAAACGTTGCATCTGAAGACATGGGGTTAGCTTTGTATCTGTTGTCATTTGTGTTTTATCCTAAGGCATACAATACTAGTGAATACACTTATACATTTAAAATCTACAGAGTTCCTTACAACTCAACTTTCGATAGCTTATAAATATTATATCTCTAAAATACATTTTGTGCAAATTTCAATTTAAAATGTAGCAAAAATGGTATACACCGTTAGAATTTATTTACATGAAAATTAGGCAATAAACATGAATTATTTTTGCCTATAACATGAAACCATATCTAATAGTTTTGTAAGATTAATGTATTTTATATCAATTAGTGTAATATAAAATTACTTTGGATTCAGGTTTCATTTTTGAAAATTTTTTCATTATTTCTGCCTGAAGAAATCATGACAGCTGAGCATATAAAAATATTAGACAATATATAAAATAATTCACCAGCCCAGCAGCTTCCAATAGCTTCATTTTACTGTAACATCTACTATGTCACTTTATCATTCACTCTAATGTAAACTGCTTAATTTAAACATTTTTATCATTAATAGATATAGGCCTACACATTCAGTATACACTGTATGTGAAGTTTTTTCTTTGTTAACTTCATATTCCATTACAGATCTGTAAAAATCTAAAAAAAAAACAACAACTCTCAACTGATTTGTCACTGTATTTCAAAATGGTGCTTTGTGTTTATGAAGTACGGGTCTAAGTGCAATATTTATTCACCAAAACTTTATAGCAGTAGTTTTAGTTTTTTAAAATAATTATATTATAACATTTAAAAAATTTAAGTTTGTCGCAGTTTTTTATAAAATCAGACCACAATCCCTTTAAAAAATAATCTCAGTTAACTAGCATGCCTTTACGGGATGAATTATTTTTAAAATGGATGGATTCTAGATCTTCATTAGTGTTAAAATGTAAAATGGTAAATAAAACTTGTTATTTTTAATTGACATCACAATATCAATAACCACTTGGCTTATAGATTCCTAGCTTGCTTCTTTTGTAAAACAAATTCTTCCATGTACACCTTGGTGATGACATTAGCAAGAAAATGATTACAGTGCACACCAGAGTAACATGAAGATTACAAGTGTGTTATTATAAAAATGCTATTTTAAAAAAAAAATCACATTTAACATATAATATGCTGTATGAATTATAGTGCACATATACAATGCAAAATATTTTTTAAAATTTATTGGGAAATTGCTAAAACGTTACTAAAATGAAAATGACTAAATTGTTTAAAACTGACAAAAAATTAAAATACTGTCATGATAAAGACTAGCAAGTTTGTTTTTGTTGTTTTTTAGAATCCAAGTAACTATTGTTTTATTATACGGCCAGTTATAAAAATAATGCATTATGTAGAAGAGGTTTTTTAAATTAATATTTTTAATAGTTTTTTCTACTCTGTACTGAACAGCTTTGCTTAGCAGTGTACTATACAGCTAGGGAACTTAAGCATTTTGTCTAATGTGTGTTAATGAATTATATCTTTAGTTTGAATGCTGAAGTTTTCGCTTTGTGTTACAGATTGCTTACATGTTATCATTGGTTCATACTGTATCCTGGTGAAATTATTCCTTAATTTTTTACTTATACAATCAACTTTTTAATAAACACAAAATTTCATGGCTGCTGCATTATGGGAAATTATTTTTTTATTTATGTTGATAGGACCTTCAGATGACATGTTGGGTAAAAGTGGTAAAACCTATGTTAGTATCAAAAGTGGTATTTAACAACAGTTAATAACGGTTTTGTGGAAATATAAAGATTTAAGTGCATGATATGAAATTATTCTTCTGACAATATATAAACTCTTACTTAAAGAGGACAAAAAAAAGTTAAATTATTACCAGCTACTATCATGTATAGTAATATTATTTGTATTTCATTTAATTTGTTCTTTGAAAATCTTTTTCATTCCTGTATTGATCTATGCATAATTTGATGAACATTTTAAATCTTGTGGCTTGTAAACGTTAAATTTTAAAAATATTTTTCTTATAAGGTATACAATTATATTCTAACAGAAATTTATTTAGATTTCTCTATATATAATGTGTAGAAAATTTCTTTAAAAATAATTTTTAAAATAGCAAAAAAATGCTTAAACAAAAGTGTATAGTTTTTAATTGTTTTTTTAAGTCAAAGTAATAAAAAAGATCAAATAGGCCTAAACACAGTAAGATAGTTAGTATGCTCTTATTATTATGTTTATTTATACTAATATTTGCTTAAATAAAAATGCTTCATAAAATATTCTGTATTCAAATTACAAGTTACTCTCAAATTGTATAGCTCTTCTGTAATCAAAGAAATTATTTAACTGAAATGTTGATGTTTTATAAACTTAATTTTAACACATATTTAAAACTGTATTACTTTTCTATTTTCTATTTCAAAGAGTTCTTTACTTTACTACATAACCCGCTGACACTGATTTCTTTACAAGCTTTTACAATTTTGAAATGCTATTTCTGTAAAACAAAAATTATTTATATATAATGGTTTGTTTTTGTAAATATCTAAATTCTTTGAAAGTCTGTTTTTTGTATTAAACGTTTTTTTTTCATATTCGCATAAAATTCAAAATTCAAATGCATTTTGTGATATAAATATTGCATTGAATAATATGTTTCTTTTTGTTTTCTATTATTATGTACATGCTGAAGTTTTCTTTTATATGTTACAGGATCTAAATCTACAGCAATTTTTTTTTCAATACTCAATAGTTAAAACATACACTTGTGGGTAATACAAAAAAAAAATACACTGTAGATTCTTTCAGCTTATTTTATTTATCAGGATATTGTCTGAGATACACACAACCACATAGCAGCACATTTTTTGTTTTAACTTTCTGAAGTCTTAGTTATACTAACTGACAGGTAGGCCTAAAGCTACCTCAATCAGAAGAAAATCTTTTTAAAAAATAGTAAGCCTGTTGACAGGCCTACTACTTGACTTGTTAATTCAGTTTTTAGTTTTACTTGTTTCATAAAATATTTTAAAAAGTAAAAAAAAAAAGTTATAAATATATTGTTTTTTTCATAAAACATTAAATTAGCACGGTATTTTAAAAATAAACTGCTAAAATTGGAATTTAGGAATTAAACTCATAGGCCTAAATATTAACAGCAATCAATGCCAAGTTAAATGTCACTACTGAATTCGAAGTTACTTTGGCATTTTGAGTTGAACTCTTGACATTTATCATCAAACTTTTAATTCTCATTTCGGTGAAGGGATATAGGGAAGAAATTAATATTGATATTTTACGGCCGACATTTTATACATCTTTTTTGGAAGCAAAAAACAAAATAGAAAAAAATAAAACAGTCTGTCTACAATTTGTAGAAATTTACTTGTTTATTTTTTAAATAAAATATTTTCTTTGGATGATGAACCTTGTTGTGTCTTTTTTTATATCTTAGACAGTCTTAGACATTACAAAATAAATTGCCGACAAAAGACTATTAACCCATATTCTGCTAGCGTCCCACTTATGGGACGCTTGCAAAAAAAATTGCTAAAATTTATTAAAAACTAGTTAAAACACAAATTATGTTTCATTGTATTTAAGCTTGGCTAGACTATTGAATTTGTGTGTGTTTTGTGAAAAAAATTAATTTAGAAAAATGTTATAGAGCCGGATTTGCAGGACTTGTCAAAATGGCGGAAAAAAGAAAACATGCGCACAGGAAAATGCATATCTTCTAAAATATTAACATTTTAAGTGCAAAATACATTTGAAACTTGTAGCAATACCATATTTCTATCTGATAAAAATTTAAGAATAACAATTTTTTTTACTACTTGGTTATATCAAGTGTACAACAAGCGTCCCATAAGTGGGACGCTAGCAACGAATGGCCCCATGTAGATTGTTACACAAACGTCACATTTATTGGACACTAGCGAGAAACACAGATGAAAATGTTTATGTTAAATGGTTATTTATGGTGAAACAATTGTTGACTTTGTTAACTGCTGACTTTGGGGTGTTAAGTAGTATTTATAGATATTTAATTATGACCTTGACCTATATTTATGCAGATTGTTACACAAATGTCACATTTATTGGACACTAGCGAGAAACACAGATGCAAATATTCATGTTAAATGGTTATTTATGGTGAAACAATTGCTGACTTTGTTAACTGTTGACTTTCGGGTGTTAAGTAGTATTTATAGATGTTTAATTATGACCTTGAGCTATATTTTCTTATATATTATTGTATTTAAAAAATTGCAAATATTGAAAAACTTACATTTTATTTTTAAGTTTTCAGAATAACACTTATTGAAGTATTTAATACCATTGAATACAAACTAATTTAGTATTGCTGTAAATTTACTAGCGCGTGATATTAAAATTATAACAAAACAGAATAATAACAATGGCCACGATTTAGGTGAAATGATTCAGTCATGGGGGTTGGTTAACTCTCTTCATATAAGAGAGCTTAAGCTACATATAGCAGAAATGTGAGTTAGCTGTGTACGGTTGTCATGCCCCAATAATATTTCCCTCCAAAGGTTCCCGATACCAGTTTTACTTTGTTAACTTTTTAAGGAGATTCCTGGTGTTAGATTGGGAGCTGTTCGCATAGTGAGGTGCATACATGGATGAGAGCCATGAACACTCAATACAAGCCCCCAGAGACGGATCTGTGCCCTAGAAATAAGATGTCTGATGCAGTGGCGTAGCTAGGATTTTTGGGCCCCTATGCAAAAAGTGTTAGTGGGCCCCTCAGAGGCGTAGCGACCCCTCCCGGCGACCGGGGACAAACTTTCGATTTGCACCCCCCCCCCCCAGACTTTCGATTTGCATCCCCCCCTTAGACTTTCGATTTGCACACCCCCACCCCTCAGACTTCCTAATGTACGCCTGTGAGGGGGGGGGGGGAATAGCGAGGGTAACAAAAGAGAAGATGGCTGGATGACATCTGGAACGACCGGATCATCTTTTGCAAATTCACTGAGGGCAGAGTTTCTTTCAGGCATCATTTCGGAGGAGGGGGGGGGGGGGGCTCTGCCCCCAGAACAAAATAGAATTTATATACAAAACATACTTTTACCAATGCCCACCCTTCCCCTGAAATTTAAGTCCCCACCCCTGAAAATATCAAGTACTCCCCCCAAAAAATCAATTATTTATATTTAATTATATTACAGTTTCGATGAATAATAACAATATTTGTGATGATGTGTGTATAATTAGATGTACTAGTCACAGCTTTACTTATTTCCAAGAGTTGTTCACTTTAATGGATGCTAGATTGAAAGAAAACTAGACTTTTGAACATAATTTCTCCATTTTAGACCATGGTATGGCTAACCCAATTGATCATTATCAGTATTTTGTGCTGTCCTAAACAATGTAATCATTGGTCTAACAATGCAAAATCAGTATACAGCTTAATTTTCGCGTAATTAGCCATATTTCGTTATAAATGATTTTATTTTTCAATAAATGTACATGGGGCCGTTCGTTGCTAGCGTCCCATTTATGGGACGTTTTTTTAAAAATCGATATTTTAAAAAGTATTGATTTAAAAAAAAATCCATAGTCATTCCTTCATTCAGTGCCCAAAAGCTAAACCATATCAAAAAATTTTAAAAATTTGAGACCTTGGGATAATATGGGTTAAATCGCCGAGAATAGTCTTGGAAAATATAGATCTAGATCTAAATCTAGATCTAAAATCTATGTAATATGTAATAAATACTATACTAACTAAATTTTTGAAAAAGTCTTTTTAAAAATATGATAAAATTATAGTTACATTTGTAAAAATTAAAGCCGTTTGGAAACCATCTATTAAACTCATTTTTAAATTTTTGTATCGAATATAAGCCGTTGAAAAGTCGTTTAGAATTATTTCATCAATTCAAATATTTTCAAAAACTGTCCTCAACCTTTCATTGAAGTCAACAGAATGGCCAGGGAAAATAAAAAAATAAATGTCAGATCAATTATTATTGTTTTCCATAATAAAAATAGACAATAGTGATCTATAGCGTAGTATTGTATTTATATTAAACGAGCCGACCCGCGGCGTATCATGCGCCGCTTTTAGTTGTTTTTTCTACTTTTCAGTAATTCATAATTTGTGAATTCGTCAGTAGTCAGTACTAATGCTGCCCCTGAAAATATATTTGCTTTAAAACACTAAAACCCTCATTTCCCCCAACTCCCCCCCTCCTCGTGAATGCAGCCTCCTCTTAGTTACCTCCCCTAAGTTTAAAATAGTTTCAAACTAAATTATCTCCCTATAATAGCCGTCACTAAACCCGTCTCTACGCTTGTAAACAGCGTGAACCACAGCTCACCAGACCATGGGGGGGGGGAGTAATAGAGATATGCCTAGAGAGATATGCCTTGGCGCGCTTACAGTAACTTACAGCTTTTTTTCTAGCGTCTCCCAGCAGAGAATTACATATATAGATAATATAACATCCCCAATCACCACAACACACTGACTCTACTAATCCAAATCAAATATTTTTTTAAAAAGTGTTTACTAAATTACTGTTATATTACTAGAATTTATTTGTTTAACTATTTCTAGCCTTAATAAAACCGGAAATGATTTTGTACTTATTTTAGGCTACACAAATTCAAATTTGATTGAAAAATATGCTTTCTGGCATCAAAAATTTGGAACCAGCTTTTCATGCCTATTCCAAAATGACAAGCTGTTATCTTGCCGTGTATTGAAATACCTCTAGTCAACTAATTGCTGTAGAGCTAATCAGAGGCGTAGCGAGAGGGGGGGGGGGTGCAGTGTTTCTTCCAGACTTTTTTCTCCGGGGGGGCACTTGAAATTTTCGGGGGGGGGGGGGGGCGGACACTGTTAAAAGTATATATTTTCTATATAAATTATATAAATTTCATTTCGTTCGGGGGGGGGGGGGGGGCGGTAAAAAAATTTCGGGAGATGCCTGGAAGAAACTCTGGCGGGGGGTGAGGACCGCACCGGGTGACACCATTAGGGGGCTGACACCAAGGCAAAAAAATAGTAAAACATATAGAGAAAAACTTGAGGGGGGGGGGGTGTAAAACGAAAGTTCGAGGGGGGTGGGGGTGCAAATCGAAAATTTGAAAGTTTGTCCCCAGGAAAGGTCGCTACGCCTCTGGGGGGTGTGACATCATTAAGTGCCGCACTGGGTGACACCCGACCTCGCTACGCCACTGGAGCTAATAATTAGGCAATCGAGGAGACTCTTATAACTAATATCGCTTACCACCAGTGAAAAGTGTACTTGTTCGTGTTGAACCCTTTGATCGACCAGTGCTGAGTTTGGCTACCTGTTGAGTCGTGATATTCCCAGAGTCAAATATACAAAATATACACAAAGGTCCAAGAACAATTCTAGCGTTTAGTTTAGCTGCCAGCAGAGTCGTGATATCAGAGTCACAAATACACAAATATAAGCCTACACAAATATACACAAATATAAG